TGGGAGGATATGAATACATTTGAGGACTACGTTGCATCTCATTCTTGACAAATTAATGCATGAGTAGCTTGAGCTTAAAGAAAAGCAAGGAAGCACACAGTTTGGGACCAGATGTTGAACTTTCAAACTTACCAAACAAGGAGAGGACGCCACACAGCGTCCACACCAGCAGGGACAGCCCCACACTGCCGCTGTTCATCAAGACTCCCTTTGGGGCGATAAAGATCCCACTGCCCACCACCGTCCCGATGATGAAGCACGCAGCGGGCAGCAACCCAATCTCCCTCCGAAGGTGCACCACCTCCTCACCTGGCTTCTCCTTCTTGCCGTCCTCCGTCTTCGTCCGTGTTCCCTCCATTCCTCTGGAGCTGCGGGTCACAGAGTGATTGAGGCTGAAGGGAGAAACAACTCCGGCCACAACATGGCCCCTTCTCCCCCTTGTCCTGCTTGTTTTTCTCCCCTCATTGGTTCCCACTCCACCCACCCAGCCTGAGCAGGGAACAAAGCCAGCAGTCTTCCAAGTCACAGTCAGTAATTACAGCAGTTTAAAGGATCGACACTTTGCCGCATTGTGCTGTTTGTAGGAGTGCATACGCTCTCATGTGTGTGTGTACAGCTTGACAGAGGCCATTTGGGGTCTTGGGAGGGGAAAAAAAAGAGTCGGGTTGTTGTAGAAGCAGCTGCATGAGCTGCAGGAGGGCCACTTTCATCAAGGTTCACACAGTTGGACATCTTCATCTTGTCCCCCTCCAAAGCTCTACTTTACAGAGGGCAAATGTTTTGGTTCCAAATTCCAAATTTATGCAATTTTTTCTGCCAAGATCAAGCAGGCCTCAGAACAGCTCGAAAGACAACAGAAAAACAAAACAAGAAAAAGCCACTGCATCGCCTCATTTTCTCTAACTTTCACTTGACTGACCACTGTACGGACGTCAGCTTCACTTCATCAGCAGGAGCAGAGCTTGTTAAAATTCCTCCGCGCACGGCACGTACCGAGAAGTTCGTTTTGGTCAAGATTTCTGAAGTGTGGCTGATTGCGTCTGCAGTCAGAACTCAGTCAGATGTTAGGAGATAGATGTATCTGAAAGCCAAAAGCAGATATTTGACGATGTCGCAAGACTCATGAGTCCAAGGGTCATGATGGGTCACGAGATGTTTGTTTGGTTGGAAACAGCACAGAGATGTCAGAATGTGGGATGTTTGAGGGGGAATTCCTGCTGTTAAATCCAATAAACATTTAACCCTCGACTAGTCAAAGTTCTTCATTTTTCAGACAAATGCTTAAATCTGAAGGTCGGTACAAGTAATTATAAATGAAAGATGATAATGAAAAAAATTAGCTCATATGGAGAAGCCAACCAATCCAGAGATTCCCTTTGAGCAGCTCTTAGGTGGAAATGGGAAGGAAAAAATGCCCTTCATCACAAAAAAGTAAATGTCAAAGCAAAAACGACATGTTTTTGTAAAAGTTTGAAAAGATTTTAAAGGAAGCAATACAAATCTTGATATAGAACTTATTGTCATGTTATACATAGTTTTATTTGGGAGCCTTCAAACGTATCAGGTTCATGCTGCAAACACTGAAATCAGGGTAAACTGCAGTCTTCTGGTGTTGTCCCTGCAAATTTTAAACTTGCAGTAGTGCAACCCCTGATCAAGAAACCTGCACTCGATCACACTGTGTTGGCTAATTTTAGGCCTATCTCCAAGCTGCCTTTCCTTTCTAAAATATTGGAGAAAATTGTTCATGCCCAACTCTTTTCTGGATGAGCATGATATCCTGGAGGTTCTTCAGTCTGGTTTTAAAACCCGGCATAGCACAGAGTCTTCAATGACATTCTCCTGGATCATGATTCTGGTGATTATGTAATTCTTGTCCTGCTTGACCTAACCGCGGCCTTTGACACAGTGGACCACAACATTTTAATATCTATGTTGCAGCATCTAGTGGGCATTTGCGGTAGTGCTCTGGATTGGTTTCGGTCCTGTCTGGCAGATAGAACTACATCTGTAAGTCTTGCTGGTTCTGAATCCTCCTCTGCTCCCCTGTTATATGGTGTTCCACAGGGATCAATTTTAGGGCCCCTGCTTCTTTCACTTTATTTGCTTTCTTTGGGTTCCATTCTTAAAAAGCATGGTGTCTCCTTCCATTGTTATGCTGATGACAGTCCGATATATGTACCGTTAAAGAAGAAAGAAGCCTTCTCAATTAATCCACTTTTGTTATGTCTTAATGATATTAAAGCCTGGATGGCACTAAGCTTCCTAAATTTTAATGAAAAGAAGACAGAAGTGATGGTGTTTGGCCCCAGTGGTTCCTGTGAGTCCCACTCCCCTGTTGACTTGGGTCCTTTGGCACAGTATGTAAAGCCAACAGTTATAAATCTGGGTTTTAAGATGGACAGTGATTTTAAATTGGATCACCAAATTGGTGCAGTAGTGAAGACCAGCTTTTTTCATCTTAGGCAGTTGGCAAAGGTGAAACCCATCCTCCCATGGCAGCACTTTGAAACAGTCATCCATGCCTTCATAACGTCTCAGCTGGATTACTGCAATGTTCTTTATTTTGGAGCCAGCCAGTCTTCCCTCTCACGTCTCCAGTTGGTTCAGAATGCCGCTGCTCGTCTTTTAACTGGATCACGTAAGAGGGAACACATTACTCCCATTCTGTCCTCCATGTGCATAGTGGAGATTTAATAAAAAGTGAAACCCTATAGGACTTAATGAGGCCATGAGAGTGCACTAGACATCTGTTTGTGTTATCAGTGAAATCACAGCTGCTGTTCCTTTCTCTTTCTCCAGCAGGTGGAACTAAACTCTTATTAATGCTGGTTTGGTTCAGATGGGTGTACTTTGCGTTCTCACCAAAAGATGGCGATCTCATTTCACACAAGGAACCTAAAGTCTCTCATGCAGGGATACTTGTTTTGTTCTTCTTAACGTGGACTCTTACATTCTTTCAGGAGCAAAGGGCAGCAGTTCAATATCCATATAAATAATATATTAATATATAGGTGACTTTGATTTTCTGTTTCTCTGAGCTGCAGGTAAAGGCAAAAATGTTCTCACAGGTAAAACCCAGAGACTTCTTGAGCATCACAGTGTGAAATCCCAGGGCAGGTCTGAATTTAACCCATCTCTCTGTGGGTACACCTGCCCCAGGAGATGACTGCCCCTCTCCCCCTGTTGTTTTCCACCTGACCTCCCAAGATCCCTGCCCAGTCAAGTGGAGACCAAACCAGCCTCAATCACGTCTATTTCTCACATAGGCTCGTCTCTGAATACAAAGGACCTCGGCACGCTCCACACGAGGGACCCTGAGGTTTTCCTATTCTATCAGTCAGCAGCTGTTTAAGTAAAAGTGCGAAATGAGATTCACAGTTTCATTATGTTTCATTTATTTATTATTTCCCTCAGTGGATAGCCAAATTAGATAATGCTTAGGAAGGACTTGGAGCAACAATCTTAACATATGGTTGTGATTAAAACGGGATCTTTGGGGGGATCTGGAGCCGACGTGACGCGAAAACATGTTAGAAGTCTGGTTGGGAGTCTGTAACAAAAGAAAAGCACACAGACATAATTCATCCCTCTCCTCGCGGATTAGGTAGGCAAACAAGGGGGAGAAAAGTCATCCTCCATATTGCCCTCATGGAAAGATCGCCCTAGGCAACCAGCTGAGGCCTGTGCATGGATGGAACAAGTTCTGACGGCTTGAATCCCCCAATTACAGGCCCTATTATCACAGAGAAGCTGTGCATGTGTGTGTGAGTGTATGTGTGTGTGTGTGTGTGTGTCTCTGTCCTGGGAATTAATTAACCTTCACACACAGATGCACACATGTAGCATCTTACATGTGTGTATACGGTGCAAGCATACATAAACAGCAGATTTTACTGATGTGGATGCATCCAGAAATATACACACACATGACATATTGCTACTGTAGCAGGACAGGGTGAACAAGTAGTGTACGTAGATTCGATATATTTATGGATATTATAGCATTTTATAGCAAATATGAAATCTTGGCACAGTGGCGATCAGTGGAAATTGTAGTCTCAACAGCGAAGACAGTATGAGTAGCAATTAAAAACGTCTGGCTCTATGGACAGCAACCAGGGGGAAAAAATCCTGTTTTTTGCAGTTCTGTACAAAACCGCAAATCTCTACTGGCAACAAAGTGGAGCAGTGAGATTAAACAATGAAACTGTTGAAGATCAACCAATAAAACGAGGACTCAGA